CATCTAAACCGTTAATTTAAAAAAATTTATTTATTAATTAAAATAATAATCTTTATTTCCATTTTATTTTTATTTTTTATTTTTATTTTAAAAAAAAACCGACTTCAAAAAAAAAAAAACAAAAACAAAAACGAATCCAGACTTCTATCCTCTAATCATGCTCCTCCTTCTCCCCACTCTTTCGAAGTATAACAGCCCCTTTCCCACCCGTTGAAACATCAACCGCAAACTTGCCATAACCATTAGCAGTGACACAAACCCCACGCACTTGAACGAATCCGCCAAACACTCCATCGCGGGGAGCCCTCCATCCAATAACGTCGGACTGCGACTTAACCAGCGCGTCGTCGTCAAGGGCGGTTGCATGCACGATTGTTTGGCCACATTTGTATGGGTAGTGGATCATGTTGAGGCCGGGGTGTGTAATTTTCCCGATGCGGCGTGGTTCGGTTGTGTTTCCGTGGGGGAAGTCTTGGATCCACACAATCAGGCCAACTGTTTATTGTTTGTTTAGAGCAACATTGTATTACTGTTTCTTTTTCTACTTACTCAACCGTTCTCCCCCTAGAGTGTGGATAGTAAAGTTGTTGTGTGAGGCCGAGTACAAGCCGTTGTTGCTATCAAGCACAGCGGTACACAGGTTCTGGGCGGCGTAGCCCGTGGCGTTGGTGAGTAAATGGTGGTAAGCGGCGATCTTAGCCTGCGCATCACCCTCTTGCAGCAACGGGATGACATCGCCAAGCGACTTAGGCCCACCTTTCGCAAGGTCGTCGAGATCGCAGATGTATGGCGGAATCAGGGTGCCGTTGGTAAAGGCCGTTGCTGTAAGAGCCGACGCGAGGAGTAGGAGAAGGGTCGTTCCGAGTTGCATTTGTCTTTAATTTTCTGATAGTTTTTTTCATTTTTGCTTTTTATTTCATTAATTGATTGCAGTTTCTCTTCTTTTTTCTTTTTAAACAGCCTTGCAAAGTGCTATTCTTTGTGGGTGTCCATCAATTTTTTTTTTCAAGGATGTCGATTGGAAACGCCCGTGATATAACGGATACATGCAGACCTTTCCCTGTATCACTCAGCAGACACACAATAGAAAAAAAAATTATTAACCCTAAACTAATGAAATTGAAAACAAATTATCTAACATTCCACAACACCTTAAAAACGTATTTAATTTGATTTATACTTGCTTTTATCTTATTTGCTCTTATTCTCTCTTGATTTATTTATTTATTTTCTTTCAAACTCAAGTCAAAAAAAAAAAATTTTTTTTAGTGTCTGCAAAAAGTTGACGACCACAGAATCCCAAATATTGTTGATTTTTGAACAGTCCAAAACAGAGGTTACACTATCGTTCAAAATTAAGAATAGTAATAATAAATTAATTTATTAATTAATAAATTAAATTTTTGCAATTTAACAGAGCATAGTCACAAGGCACTCACAATCAAAGCTCTTTAATTCTAATATGACAAATGGCAGAATGGTAACCATACTCAAATATTTGTTATCTTTGTCACTGAACTTTTTTGCCCTTTTGTTTGTCTTATTCGTAAAATCTCTTTTGTATAAATAAACGAATTGTATAGCCAGTCAAGAATATCAGAAAATAGCTGTTGGCGTTTTGCATACGCCTCCTTAGTCCCAGAAGCAGCTAAAACATACACGTCATTTGCATTGAATCTATCAACAAGCTCCCTCAAAATGTTTCTGGCGATCATCTGGTTGACGAAACATCGCCGTGGGTATATCATACTGAGAAACGCTTGACAACTCAAAGGAAGTGAAATTGTCTGTTGCAGCCATATTTCCATTGTCAATGGGCTGACGTCAGCGTTAACTGCAGTGGTAGTGTCATTCGATCACAACCAAAATTTATTTTTTGTCAGTTTATGATCGATTATTGTCACAATTGTGTTTATTAAAAAATAATTCAATTACAATTTGAGTTGCCCGTGTAGTGCAGTGGTTAGCACATCTCCCTCCTAATCAGGCGCAAGGAGAAGGCCGTGGGTTCAAACCCCACCTCGGGTGCGATATGACTTCCCAATATGTTTTACTTATTTCGTATTGCTCACAGCTGATTCCAAAAATATTGATGGAAAAAAAATATTGGAATTCCCGTAAATGTGTGTAGTGAATTATTGTGGTATATTGTGGTCCATCATTGGGTCTCCCAAAACTAATGAATTAGGCAAATACAGAAGATGGGGCACATTCAGAACCCTGATGCGCTCTATTTTGGCGGGTTATCTGGGCGCTTTTGGAAGGATTGAGCTTTTCAAAAACAGCAGATCAGTTTTATCTTGATTTTATGCTTGTTTGACAAACCTGGAAGTATTTTACGTCATTTGGAACAATTTGAAATCTATTTACACAAGTAAGAGGCAGGAAGCAGCTGTTGGATACTCATGTTCTTGTGGTATGTCTGTTCATTTGCGTTTTGATAGTCTCAAACTTGGTTATAAAATAGCATATACAAGCACTCATGAAGACTTGAGTTGATTGGTATCTTGAAGAGCTTGTCAAAGAAGTCTACACTGTATCTGGTCAATCTATTAGTATTCCAACAG